TTACCCCGTTGAATATATAATAATAAACACTCAGCGCCATCTATGGCCAAGTAGCGTAACTACTACATAGTCACCAATTTTGTGTACTTTAACAACCTAAAATCTATAAAATACGCAATTTAATGTAAAATGGTTAGAACCAAAATTTAAAAGCGAAAAATACTTAAAAAATAGCGTAACTACTACATAGACACCAATTTCATGTACCTTTAACAACCTAAAATCTTTAAAATACACAATTCAATGTAAAATGGTAGGAACCAAAATTTATAAGCGATAAAAGTACTTTAAAAGCATAACGCTACCCCGTTTTATAAACACTCAGCGCCATCTATCGCCAAGTAGCGTAACTACTACACAACGTTACCACGTTGTGTTTTTTAAGTATTTTTACATAAAAAATAGCAAATAAATGAGTCGAAAAGAGCACTGAATAAGTGTAGATTAACACCAAATAAGCGCTATAGATTAAAGCGTGAAATTTCCAATTAGTAGGTAATTCGTTGAATTGTTTTAGATGGCACAAAGCGCCATCTACAGGAATACACACAGCGCCATCTATACTAATATTTTTGTTTTCCCTCGGGAATATCACATTTTTCCGGGATAAAAAGTACCCTATTATTTAATCCGGACGTCCAACTTTACGTCTGCAAAAATTCAAAGCAATCGGTTGAGTAGTTACGGCGTGATGGTGGAACAAACAAACAAACAAACAAACTCACTTTCAGATTTATAATATTAGTAAGGATTGTTTTATTATACGACAAAATAAAAAAATACGTGTCTAATATTTTTTCATTACCTAACTTACGGACTAATTATATTTTTAATTTTCATACCCTGTCATCATCCCCATTCAATGTAAAATGGTAGGAATCAAAATTTAAAACCGATAAAAATACTTAAAAAACAACGTTACCCCGTTGAATATATAATAATAAACACTCAGCGCCATCTATGGCCAAGTAGCGTAACTACTACATAGTCACCAATTTTGTGTACTTTAACAACCTAAAATCTATAAAATACGCAATTTAATGTAAAATGGTTAGAACCAAAATTTAAAAGCGAAAAATACTTAAAAAATAGCGTAACTACTACATAGACACCAATTTCATGTACCTTTAACAACCTAAAATCTTTAAAATACACAATTCAATGTAAAATGGTAGGAACCAAAATTTATAAGCGATAAAAGTACTTTAAAAGCACAACGCTACCCCGTTTTATAAACACTCAGCGCCATCTATCGCCAAGTAGCGTAACTACTACACAACGTTACCACGTTGTGTTTTTTAAGTATTTTTACATAAAAAATAGCAAATAAATGAGTCGAAAAGAGCACTGAATAAGTGTAGATTAACACCAAATAAGCGCTATAGATTAAAGCGTGAAATTTCCAATTAGTAGGTAATTCGTTGAATTGTTTTAGATGGCACAAAGCGCCATCTACAGGAATACACACAGCGCCATCTATACTAATATTTTTGTTTTCCCTCGGGAATATCACATTTTTCCGGGATAAAAAGTACCCTATTATTTAATCCGGACGTCCAACTTTACGTCTGCAAAAATTCAAAGCAATCGGTTGAGTAGTTACGGCGTGATGGTGGAACAAACAAACAAACAAACAAACTCACTTTCAGATTTATAATATTAGTAAGGATTCTCATTTATTTCGTCTTGATCAGATACATTGGTAACGGATTCATTAATAATGTTTATGTTACTAGAGAGCTGAGAATCTTGTTGAGATCTTACTTCACTAGGAATACTGTTATTAGCTGCATCACTAATTTGAGATTTGCTATGAAACTCTCTTTGGCTGTCATGATCAGGACCCACCTGGCTGGTATCACATGGAGTTTCTGGTGTAATTATATCATCGAAACTTTCGAAAGTGCCCTTGAATTTATCTTGATCAACTGGGAAAATTCCAGCGCTCTTGAAGCCATTTATAGCTTTATCAATTGACGAGCATCGGTTAAAAGCTTTTGTATAAAGACCAACAATATCAAATGCTGTAATTTTTGCTCCAGGATGATTAACCATATAGGTTTCACATTCTCTATTGTATTGTGTTTTTAGTGGTCCATGAAAGGTCAAGTCTAATGGCTGCATTCTATGCGATGTATGTGGAGGCAATGTCAAAACATGGATAAAATTTTTACGACAGAACTCGTAAGCTTTCAGACTAATATGGCTCTCGTGGTTGTCTAGAACTAACAAAACGGGATTGTCAGCCGATGGTTTAGCAAATCCTTTAAAATGCTGGAGCCAATCAACAAATATCGATTCATTGATCCAACCAGAGTCCGAAATACAAGCTACCATGTTGCTATTACTATCTTTCATAAGCTGAGCATTCATCCTTTTTCTTTTAAAGATAAAAAATGGTGGGATGTACGAGCCTCCAGCATTAAAACAGTTCACGACTGTAGTTAAAGAACCACGTTCTGCACTGGTACATTTTCCAACCTGTTTTAGTCCCTTTGGTGCAAGAATCCTGGAATTGCGTTGTACTGTACTAATCCCAGTTTCATCTATGTTGTAAATTGAATCAGATTTAAATTTGTATTTAATCATGAGTGCTTTCAGATTCACAAAAAATATATCGGTTTCTTCTTCATTAAATGCGGTAATTCTATTTATAGAAGTAGCTTCAGGCCTTCGAAGTGATATGTTTGGATGTCTGGCCAAAAAATTGTAATACCAATCCATTCCTGCCATACCAGTTTCATTATTGAAATTATGTTTTAAGTTGTTTGCGGTGGCAAAATCGAAAGCTATCTTTCTTAGAGTAGGTATTGTTATCCCAAAGAAAGCCTTACATGACTTTAAAATAAAATCAAGCAGTTCGTTTTCTTGTATTTCGTTAAAAACAGTTTTTTTACCTCTCTTTGGTAATGTAGAAACACTGCCTTTTTTCACTTGGTCAAACAAAGTAGCTCTGGGAATACCATATTTTTCTTCCGCTTGACGAAAAGTTATCTTCCGGTCTTTTATTTCTTCCACAGCTTTTTGTAATAATTCGATGGTGTATGACTGTTCTTTTTTTCTTATATATTTCCGAGGCATCTAAAAATGAGCAGTTATTGATTAATTTCACAATAGTTTATCGAATTAGGGGTAATTGCGGACGTTCGTATTTACCCCGCAAGGCTTGTCCGCAATTAACCCAACTGAATATTTTTAAATCAAAGAGAGAAATTTGTAGGTTACGAAAACGTTCAACAAAAATAAACATTGGCGATTCAAACTCCATTGACAAAGCTATCTATAGAAAATATCACTTTTTACCATCACTTAGTATACAGACCTGTCCCTCGTATTAAAAAACATTAAAAATTAGATCAATACACACTTTTTTTTTCAATTTTACCTACCTTTTAAACTGCGCACAGCCGGCTGTCATAACTTTTTGCGTGGCACTAAAATGGCGGAAAGAAACAGATGACAGCACCGGGCTGCCGCGGGGGGGAGGGAATGAGTAGATACTTGCTAGTCCGTATTTACCCCGCGTCCGCAATTCCCCCACTCTCCCCTATTACAAACTAGCTTCTGCCCGCGACTTCGTACGCGCAATCCCGTTATCACCTGTTCCCGTAGGATTTTCAGGTTTTTTTCTGTCTTAAGAACCTTCTCCTAATAATAACAAATACAACAAAAAATAATCAACCAAATCGGTCAAGCCGTTTTCATGCTATGTCGTGAAAATGGAAAACAGGTTTCATTTTTATATATATAGATGGAAAAGTTTGTGAGTGAAAGTGAAAATTTGGAAGAGGGACTTTACTTTTTATCCCAGTGGAATGTGGCTGGTAGAAGCTAGTATATATTAACCAGCTACTTCCGCGCGGTTTCACACGCTCTGCTTAGCTCTTATTGGTCGTAGCGTGATGTTTTATAGCCTATAGCCATCCTCGATAAATGCGCTATCCAACACAAAAAGAATGATTCAAATCAGACTTGTAGTTACGGAGATTAGCGCGTTCAAACAAAAAAACAAACTCTTCTGCTTTATATAATAGTATAAGATAAGATAAGTTTGTAACTAATTTGACAGCACGATTAGCATAGTATGACCAACTACTACGTAACATGGTCAAGTGTTTGATTCCCACACAGAACAATTCGTGTATAATCCATAAACCATTGTTATTCTCAGTCTAGATGTGAAATGCATGTAGAAATTACGTTTCTAATACACCTATGATACGTGATAAGATCCTAACCGTAAGGTGAAAACCAAAATGTCATTAAATACCACCTATATTAGCTTAGTAATGCCTTATAATTTAGGACAGTTTATTAAAAACGGCAATAATACACGGTTAATAAAAAGATTTGTCTTCACGAACCTCTTGAGTCGGTAACCAAACCGATGTTCTGTTACATTTCTACAAATATTACGACTTATGAATTATACAAGATTGACGTGACGTGAAGATTCGTGTATGGAATACACAATTTTTTCCTTAGATTTTCCTCGTTTTTTAAGGTTTTGCGATGTGACGATGTGCTGGCTTAGATTTGTCACATTTTGAGTCTCATGAAATATATTGCTAGCTTAATATAACCATGGTTGTTTTAAAGTAGATATTTCTTAAGCTTACCTGGCCAAAATATGTGTTTTAATACATAATTCTTTGAATATTTAAATAGACCTTATGTTTATCGGTTTACTACTTCAGGAATTGTTAATATAAATTAAGCACGGCCATCCTCAAAATTACAAACTATCACTACATCACTACAAAGTATAAAACAAAGTCGCTTTCTCTATCCCTATGTCCCTTTGTATGCTTAAATCTTTGAAACTACACAACGGATTTTAATGCGGTTTTTTTAAATAGATAGAGTAATTCAAGAGGAAGGTTTATATGTATAATACATGCATATTGCACCCGTGCGAAGCCGGGGCGGGTCGCTAGTACGTAATAAAACCACTACCTTAACTAGACACAAAATAATATTCACAAAACTTGTTTCATTAGTTCAAAGGTGAAAAGGGCGACCGTGGCTTCGATGGACTGCCAGGTCTACCAGGCGTGCCCGGTCCAGCAGGACCTCCCGGACCATCTGGATCCCTATCCGAAGCTATCCAGTACTTGCCAGGACCACCTGGACCACCAGGACCCCCCGGACCTCCTGGCCCACCAGGAGTTTCCATCGTTGGACCTAAAGGAGAACCTGGATTCACACACTATGAAGAACATCCTGTGCACGGCAATACTAAGTTTTATGGAAGACCAAGTAAGTCACTGATACGTTGTTTCTTAAAACTAATGCCAATTTCTTAATTTTTAATAATTTAAATTAATATGCAGAATGCATAACTGACGTGCAATTTCATGCCTGAGCTCTGGGATATATGATTCAAATCTATAATCTGATGATAAAATTTGAAGCCAAACTCAAAATAACAGTCTAAAAAATTCATTTCGAATATATTATGCATCCTTCAGCAATAACAACAAAATATTTTCTTGACTTTAATAATAGATATACTTAAATAATTGATCTATCTTTGTTCACGCTGCTCTGATAGTGTCGAAAAGTCCCCTCGATGAGCTTAAGGCTCTTAAGGAACTGAAAGACTTGACGAATAGAGACAGGGACAGGGATAGACATGGTAAGTAATTTACAGGTGGAATTTATGGGTAAAAGAAATTTAAAAGTTCTTTAAGCATAGTCTAACTCGTGGCTTGGATTTGTTAGGAATTCTGGTCCTTAGATACTTGGTCCTAAAGTATCTTAGAACCACAACTCCTTTACAAAAATGCTAGTCCTTTTAATTTTCTTTTTTCATTTAATTTTTATTACTTTTGTTTTTGAACAGAGTTCCCTACACAACGACAGTGACATTCAATTCATTATTGAGCGACATATAATGAGACTTTGTGATATACTCCACCTCTGAATTACTGTTTTCCAAAATACAAGCTTATAGCTAAGTTTGGAAAGCAGTATCAGTATCGTTCGTAATTCACACTCGTCCATGTAATTACCGCATTTCTGTGGATGTGATATTGTGAAATTTTGTGACGATTATTTTATTTTATTTTTTAATATATGGAAATATTAGGATAATGTAAGATCTGATTGCTTCTAGTAACAGCTGAACATTTATTTCAGTGTGGTTGAAGTTAATTTCATTATAATATGTATTAACTTTTTCTGTAAATGTTACAATAATTGTTGTACTATTATTTAATATTGTATAATTAACAAATAAAACATTTTGTATATCAAATAGATTCTCATGTAAACCGATTATCTTACCTAATTAAGCAAATCCGTGTTTATCAAAATTCCTGATAACCACTATCAAAAGGGAATTTAACGAATTGACGTACACTACATAGATATAATGGGTGACTACATACATAATAGAAGTAAGAACTTTATCTTTGTGACGTAAGCAAAATTAATACTTACTTGTTACTACCTGTAGGTAGCTACTTAAGTTTACATATAAGTCGAATTAATACCAACTCATCGCGATTTCAAAATTTAGATTTTATAAAATATACCTGTATTAACTTTGTCACTTTTCTATATATTATGAATTTGGGTGAGCACCTTTGTTAAGAGAAATTAGAAAGCTATAAACATTGATCACATTTTTGTCTGATTAAGCAAACTAAAGCAATGAAACTATCTACTAAAGCAATATAAGTTTTTCTTTTTACTAAGTATGGGCTACATTACAGGACCAGTTCAATCGCACCCAGCAGTCCATCACACGGAAGAACCCAACAAGTCAGTTCCTGGCGCAGCAGTGTTCCAAACTACGGAGGAAATGTTGAAGGTAACATTTGTAAGAAAGTATTTAGGTATTTAACTGACTTCCCGAAAAGGAAGTTTTCGATTCGTCTTTATGTGTTTTGAAAGAACAAGTTTCAATGTACAACATCCATTATTGTTGTTAAGTCGCTAATGATGATAATTGTATAATTAAGTGTTTAGTGTTTAAAGTAGTCGTCTGCGTCGGTCCCTTTCGGTCAAACATCAAGAAGACACGTGTGTGACTCAACGTTTACCTAGGTGCTTGATTGATGCATTGCCTACTTGAATCAGGATGTTACACTGTCAAATTCTTACAACATTGTTTCGATTCATCTATGTCAGATTTCGACAATTTGTAAATACTTCCACAATACTAAAAAACTCCAATGTGTTGTACAAAACAACTTTTTTACGTATCCAATTTAGTAACCTAACAATATGTCCACAGCTCGCGTCATCGAGTGCTGTCGGTGCTCTGGCTTACGTTGTCGAAGAGCAAGCTTTGTTTGTCAAAGTTAATTCCGGCTGGCAGTACGTACTGGTGAGTTTTATCCAAACAACGGCATGAGCTTCCATTTTGGACAAATTGAATGGCAGGATAGATTTCAGTTGACAATTTGATTGGATAGGCCAAATCAATCTCGTATCCGTTGAGATTATTGATACTTAAAGAAAGTCATTCGGTGAATTGATTATGTTTTTCAACGTGATAACATGATGACAGGGTATGAAAATTAAAAATCTGATAATTCCGTTGTTGTCTGTTAGGTAATGAAAACATATTAGACACGTATTTTTTTTATTTTGTCGTACAAGAAAACAATACTAAGATAAAACGAATCAAAGTTTAGGAGTGGGAGATAGATTTTAGAGTATAAATCGTACTCAAAAGTGCGATATTTCCAATCAATTTATTTTAGAAACTATTGGTTTCCATAAGAAAATAAAAACAACGGGTCTAATGTTTTTAAATAATCTACCAGACGGAAATAAAAATAAAAAATAGTCATCTACCCTACCTATTAAATTATTGATATGAGTTGAAATTTTTTATTGTATAAATTAAAATTCTTGAGAATCATAAGCTTGAAGTTTCTCACATTAAAAGAGTTGGCCATAAAATTAATATTGATTTACCTACTGTACAATTTGTACACTTGTTATCGCATAGTCGAAGCATCAGGAAAATACTTACTTGAAGATACCCATCTTCTTCACTAACATCAAGCGCAAAACTCAAATTACTTCGCTCCTACAGCTCGGGTCATTAGTAACCCAGTCTGCGCCAACGCACCCGACGCCTGCACCTGCCCCACCTCCACCAATGCCAGCCGCCAGTTTAGTACACAAGCCCTCATTATCTAATCTCGTTGAAAGTTCGCCTGTACCTGGACCCAGTGTAAGTCAAGTATTTAGATGTTAATATTATAGAATTTTCATTATTGTTTTAATTTACTTATTCTCAAGAGTCAGATAGTAGAAACTTACTCGTATACAATTATTGAAAATTGCGCCTTAAATCGAAGATGCTAACAACTGTATTTTATCACCAGCTTCACTTAGCGGCATTAAATGAGCCGTTGCCAGGCAACATGCATGGTATTCGTCGTGCTGACTACGCGTGCTACCGACAAGGAAGACGTGCTGGATTCAGAGGCACATTCAGAGCTTTATTGACTAGCAAGTAAGTAGTATTAGATAAAAACGGCGATTAATAGAACAGCAAAATCTTTTTGGTAAGAGTTAAATATGATAAAAACATAACATCACGCCTTTTATCCCCGAAGGGGTAGGCAGAGGTGCACATAGAAGTAACACCCACTTTTCACTATTTATGTTATGAGTCCCATGTAATAGGGGGTGAGCCTATTGCTATATACCGGGCACATTTCCAGACTCCGTGCTACTACAGAGATTTTTTTTTTTTAAACCCAGTAGTACTTTACCCGACCCAGGAATCGAACCCGAGACCCCTTGCCCGGCAGTCGCACTTGCGACCACTCGGCCAACGAGGCAGTCAATTTCAATTTAAATATGATATTATAAAGGAATCTAAATATATAATGACAGTGGATTAGAGAAACAAACTTACTTGTCTTTTGGTACACAAGTATTTTATTGATGAAGATGAAGATTATCTAATAATAGTGAAATACGTACAGAAAGACAGAATAATTATGTACCGCGCAAGATACATAAATATTATTAAACATATGCTACTCTTAGCCGCATAGCAAGTAACCAAATAGAAAATAATTAGTTCATTAGAATTTAAACAAAGCAACAAACAATACATTACCAAAACTCATGACATACTAACAGTATTAGTTGCAAATGAAACCAGCAACTAGCCACTACATTTGTCAACTACACAATTTATGAACCGTATAAAACCGCGACGGTCATGTATCGCACGATTACGTTAGACTATTAGTTATTGGATTAGACAAGTGAAGCTTTATTTTGAAAATAGACCGTTCCTTGTCTTCTCTTCGCGGACCCAAAGTTTCATTATATTTGTCTTAGTTATCATGATAGTGTTGTTGTTAATGATATCTCCTTCGAACATTATGAAATGTTATTGTAATATTTTGCACTATCAAGTGTACCATGAGATCAAACTTTACGTAACTATTTTTGTTCTAGGATCCAAAACTTGAACTCAATAGTTCGTTACTCAGATCGTCACCTACCAGTTGTGAACACTCAAGGAGAAATTCTATTCAAGTCATTTTCGGATATGTTCGATGGCAATGGAGCGCTAGCAGCTGGAGCCAGAATATACAGCTTCAATGGAAGAAACGTTCTTACTGACTCGCATTGGTAAGTAAAATCGTCTCTAATTTTCTGTTTAATTCTTATGTTTCTTCCAAAGTACGTTTTCTAAATAAGTGGGAGTACCAATTTTGTACGTGTGGATAACGAAAATAATTATAATCTTAGGATATATGAAAACTATACAGTTAAAGTCATTTAAATTCGAATTCGACTGCATGGTTGGCGCGGTGGCTGGGCAACTGGCTGCCGCGCTAAGTGTTGCGGATTCAATTCCCACACGGAACAACGGTTTGTGGGATCCACAGATTGTTGTTCCGGGTCTAGGTTTCATGTATGTGAACTTGTATGTTTGTAAACGCACCCACAATACAGGAGAAAATCCTAGTGTGGGGCAACGTTTTTTTATTATTAAATCAAATAAACTTATTCACTAAAATCTCTTTTTGAAGATTATAATAAAACTAAAAGTGATAAAATTAAAAGAGGTATTCACGTTTGACTTCAAAAATGTATGTAGCGAATATTAAAATTTTCCTTCTTAACATTATTTTCTTGTTCCAGGCCACAGAAAGTAATCTGGCATGGATCACGCGCTAATGGTGAACGCGCTTTGGACAGTTACTGTCAAGAGTGGCAGAACGGGGATCCTACAAGTCGAGGCCTTGGGTCCGCACTACAATCCCACAAACTACTGGCACAGGAGAGGTAAGCATTTATGTTTATACTAATCACTGAACTTTCGTTACAACACGAGTAGAATTCAGCATCTCCTACAATAATGACAGTTACAGAGAACCCCTAAAAATAATGTTCCTAATAACTGTAAATGTTAATACTTAAAATCAAAAACGATGTAATACACTGCCACTACTATACTGCCTCGTTGGACAAATGGTCGTAATTACGACTACCGGACAAGGGGTCTCAGGTTCGATTCCCGGGTCGGGTAAAGTCGGGTCGGCTTTTTTTAAAAATCTCAGTGGTAGCGCGAAGTCTGGAATTGTGCCTGGTATAGGGCAATAGGCTCACCCCTTATTACATAGGACTCATAACATGAATAGTGAAAAGTGGGATAAAAGGCGTTATGTTATGAAATACTACATTACAATTTCACCTTTATTTGCTTATTGCTTGACAAGAAATTTCCAATAACGAGGAAATAAAAACACAAAATACATCAGCATAACAGGCAGCAACTTTAAACAATACTGCCTCTAGAATTTGAGTCTTAAAGCGTCAACCAAATGTATTAGAATCCTATCCAACTTAGTATCGACCCCCTTTAATTGCTACTTTACTCTATTTATCAACACAGAACCTTCAGTCCTAACACCTAAAGCATAAAATACAAAATCACGTTTTCAATTTAGTGACTTAAAACTTGGGATCCTCGCAGCCATTTTGATAATTCAATTTGAAACAGAAGTGAAATTTGTTAGAAGGGTTCAAGGAATTAGGAAACTTTATTCGCTGCTAATTTTCTGCTACTTGGAAAAAAACAATGATGAATTAAAAGAAAGGGATTTTTACTTTGTTATTCTAATTACAGATATCCTTGCAGTAGTCACTTTATTGTGCTGTGCGTAGAAGTAGCTTCAGAAATAAACTCGCGAAGAAAAAGAGAAACAATAAGGTAAGAAGACAATTGTTTAGATAGAACAGAATTCAACGGCTGATGGAGCGAAATATCTACAATAATTTAAGATAGATAATTAGTTAATTTTCCAATGTATCTTTGTATATAATATTTTGTATGAAAAAGTATATTCGATACACAACACCAAAATCAAATTTTCCGCAGAAATAGCACATAAAAAATGCAAAACTACTAATACGGAATAGTTAGAAGAAAAACTTACTAACAAAATGCATTACAGATACAATACAACGGGCATACTTGATGAGGACGACTACCTTTACAACGCGGAGGAATACCAACAACTACTGAACGAAATATTTGCTCAACCATTGAGAGAAAATTAAAGAGTGACGTCATTGTTCGTCAGTGTCACGTCAGAATGCACTAACGGCTTTTAAGGTTCAAAATCGTATAATTTGTATCGACGTTGTTTGCTATCTTGAAATTTTATGTGAAAATTATTTAAAGAGGAGATGTTTAAATGTAAACTTTTGGCACTAAAGATTGGCAATTTATGAAAATCTCTTCGTAAATTAAAAAAATTAAAGGCAACGCCATTTTGTCATTGATAGCTAATGGAATAACAACTCTTTCGTTGTACGATAATTTCGAACTTCGAACGAATCGAAATCTCTTGTCGTTTCATTCTGTTTTGTCGCGGCCATTTTGAAAAAAAAATAGCCAAATTCTGAGGGCGATTTTGAAATGAGATTAATAAAAAATCAAGTCAGAGCTTGGTGTTTGTGAGATTCCTATTAAACTAAGCGTATAAGCTTAAGCCACTGAAAGTTACTACATACCTACATTCGTATTACTGTATGTATAGTGAAATATATTAGGTCGCGCTTTGTACTGCGCTTAGAGTGTTTGTAAATAAAATTTTGTAAAATGTATCAATGGGCAAATTTTAAATGTAGGATTACGAGTCGTCGTATCGAGAAAACATGGAATTATATTATATTTATTTGTATAAATTATATTGATGATAATTTTGTAAGTTTAAGTTAGGAAGAAAAACGCTTGCATTAATTATTTATTCAAATGAAATATCAGGTACGATATTAAGGTTTTAACTGCCAATAGAAAACTATTGAAAGCAATTACTCCGCCAACGTCGGTGACCTCCATGGCGTTTAATGTGTTAAATAAACGGATTCTGATACAAAAAACATTTTAAACTCTTAGTAAATTATTTGTGTACAAGTTACGTGATTACCAACATTATAAAAGTGAGGCGATTCGTAATACTACTTGATTTAATTCTAGAGGTAGTTTCTAGACAGAATACCAATGTTTGTGATTTTTTCGAGACATTAATTCGAGACTGTATATAATTATTATTCGAGAGGATTATTTTTTATCTTAAGTCAATTTTGAAGTATTTCTTAATTCTTTCTTTCTAGCGAAATATTTTTACGGAAATGTAATTGACTGATTTTTACTTAAGCACTTATGTAGTTTGATTTTTGCAGACATGGCAACATTAGTAACTCGAAAGTGATTAGTTTTGAATAAGAAAAAAGAAAATAAGTTTCGAAATTATTAATAATTTATTTAAGGACGATTTTTCAAACATAAGTTCATTTTTAACTCTAAAAATAAAAACTATCGTGAGGAATACCAAATTAACACTTAAGGACTCGCTAATGGGTCTAACGGACCCATTTGTTTATTTCTTTGTAATAACTTTTAAGATTTGATGTTTGCGATGTTGCCGTTCTTAGTACCTTTCAAGAACAGTGTAGCGCGGCAAATGCCGGTCGTATTCTTCAGTTAGCGCGCTGCGTGTGAGTGCTACAGATGTATAAGGTGCGTATGGGTCCTCTGGACCCGGTAGCGACTAAATACGGAAGCGTTCCTTTTTTCATCATAGTATTATTTTTGTCTTGTTTTTTGTTTATTTCATAGCAAAATGGCTTCCAATAGGCCGTTGAGACTTGACGAAATATAAGACTATTTTAATGAAGCTATTCTTCTATGTAGATACTGGTGAAAAAAAGAAACCGAAAATAATAACCGACTATAATGAAATGTGGAGTCGATATAGTTGACCGTCGTACCATTATAGATGATTGGTACGTATTCTGTGTCAAGACGAACTCAAAGATGGCCTCTGTGTATATTTTTCGAATTATTGAATATTGGTGGACTAAACACTTATATTATTCAGAAGGCTAATGTAGTAATGTATCTTCAGATAACTTCGCTCTAAGAGATTTCATCAAAACCTTGGAAATTTCTCTGATTCAACCGCACCTTTATGTCAGAATTTCTATCATAAAAATTCCACAGCATATCAAAAACCGTATCCGAAATATAATTCGAGAAGTCGACCCAACTGCGGCATCCAACTCATCCTTGCCAATTGCTGGGCGAAAAGTACGTTGCGGTCTTTGTTATTGAAAAAAAAAGAAAAACCAAAATTTTTGGTATAAAATGCAATATAGCCATTTGTAGAGAATACGTGAAACACGTGTGTTCCAATTGTTTTAGTAAATGAGTAGAAAAAAAAGACTGTTGATTTTGAACGATTATTTTATCCCAAAAAAAGCTATTTGATTTTGTTGATTTTCAAAGATATTTTTATTGTTTTCTTTTAGTATTGATCTCTTATTGTTAATTGTTCTTGGTAGGTATAACATAGTAGTATAAGAAAATATAGAAAGGTATTGATAAAACCACTAATTAGATAAGTTTTCAGAATTATACTTAATCTTGTCATAAAAACATGCCAAATAACCGTAAATTTTTGTAAAAACTTGTTGATGAAGAAAACGAAATAAATATTACTGTTTGATTCATTATTTTCTTTGTTAATTAACATATTATCCCTAGTAATAAAGTATTTTTCACTTTTATTTAGTATTTTTGAAAAAAAAATTGAATATTGTACTGGGTCCAGCGTACCCGGTAGCGAGTATGGGTGTTACAAAATAAGGCGCGAGTCCTTAAGTGTTAACTAAAAATAAAATTTGACAGTTCTTAGTAGGGAATAATTATCAAATATTTAATTTCTCAGTTAAAATTTATCAGGCGTTAAAAAATTGGCCCCAAAAGGTCTAATAATAAAATATTCGAAATATATAATATATCAAGCTCTTTATTCTAATCTATCTTTCCTACACGTGGCTCGAAAAAATATAGGTACGTGGTCGGGATTTCGTAAGCAAATAAAAATCCCATTTGAATTCTACACTACGAAAGCAAAAAAAATATGAACGATAGAAAAATAATCGCTTTTATGATTCGTACCTATTCGTCTATCTCAATAAAATACTCGTTCGTTTAAAATTTCGTATTCATATTATGTATTTGCATAAAAATCTTGTCGCATGTCATGTCTGCATTTATTTCCAAATTTTGACAATAAAATCTTTATATTTTACTGAATAATATTCGAATTATATACATCGTGTATCACTTTCTATATGACAATGTATTTAATGCTACTTTTAATATTATATATTATTACTCTTGTAAGCAAAACTTGGTCCATATACTTGACTTCTAGATTAGTTAAAGGTCTTTCTAACCGCATACGTAGTATTAATGCCTTTTGTAATATTTTTAACGATCTGATGCCACGAAATAAATAAAATTGTAGCTTATTACTTACAGTGTAGCATACATTATTGTATGTGACATCGTGTGCAACAAACCCGAAGGACCAATTTGGTCCTTCCATACAAATCTCGTGCCATTCGAAATAATACAATAAAAGTCTGATTTATTTGCTATACATACTTTGTATTTATAGTAGAAAGTAGATGTAGTGAAATACCTGTAATTTTACCAGTAATTGTAATTTTTAATTTACTAGTCTCTCACTGTTTTACTGTTTTTGTTAGCTTAAGTAATGTAGAAAAATGTATTGTATTAGCGAATTGAAACGTGTATAATTTTTATCACTTGTCGCACGTTAGATTCACTTGTATTAAAATAAAATTTAGTTAGATATTTTTATTGAATTTGTTACATATTAAAAATAATTTTATTCGGAGTAAAAAACAGTGAAACAGTTAAATTTGTATACAACATGACATACCAACAAGCATTTAAGATATTGTTCGTAAGTTGTATCGCTTCACATCGATTTAATTAAACAATTCGTGTATTATATTACAAACGACTGTATTTATAAATATAAGTTAAAAATAAATGTTTTCACGACACAGTAAGAAGGTTCGTTTTATTTAATTATAATAATCATCAAGTTAATCTATTGTGCAATATTAATAAAAAAAATAAATTAAATAAATAAAATAAATAACAGCTGAACAAATAGATTTCATGTGTTTAAAATAGGAATAAAAATTGAACAATGAACTTCTGCAGAAGTTGACAGGGCAGCATTGATTGCAAATTGTGTATACAACAAAATAATATATGCCTTTTTTATTTACCTCTGTACACACTAACATCACTATGTTTATGAAATATAAATATAATATATGAAATATAATTTTTATCACTCGTGTAATGCTTAAACACTACATTCGTATGTCAAACTATAATTTAAAACCTCTAAAAATAGAAAGCTAAAGTAAAAAGAAACATGATGAACGAATAATTCCAGTAGTAGGTGCCTTTGTTATGGAATAAGCCGGTTAACGAGCAGAAGGACCACTTGATGGTAAGCAATCAATACCCGAAACACCAGAGGCGTTACAGTGCATCACCGGCCTTTTGGGGATTAGGAATTTGAGGATTGTTGGGGATTCGAGGATTGGGAAGATTGGGGAGGAAGATAATTGGGCCTCCGGTAACCGCACACACACGACGAAACACAACGCATGAATTGGTTTCACGTCGGTTTTCTGTGAATTCAAGACCTATAAAAATTCCTAGTGTGTCCTTTCAAAGAAAAGTCGTTGCTTGCTTCTTGCTCCTACCATTCACTCTTCTCTGCATCACCCAAAGGCCAGACTGGGAGAAAATGCCTGCGGCATTAAGTCCACCTTGTGTACACTTTGTGCATGAAGCGTTAATAAATAAAAAGTCAAGCAATTACAATATGAAATAGGTACCTAGTACAAAAATGCTCTTCTACCAAATTCTTTCAAGATAAAAGTCAAAAAATCACAATGGCCGAACAATTCTCTTTAGTACAGACAATCCAAGCTATTGAAACGTTCTCCCCTTGATTTGTGGGTGCAGTTCTGTTAGCAACACGCTACGGAACTGCGATTGGCAGACTAATTGATTTCAACTCAAACGCAGTCAGGTAAGGCGAATTTTCGCCGGGAAATTGTAAGGACCGTGTAGACTGGTGCTGGTGAATTAGAACCGCTCGCTCTGAAATATATTTCATAGGAATTAGCTTTTAGGCTAACTGAATTGGATA